AAAAAACATTTTGACATTTTACCATAGTTTGAGTTCTGTCGAGAGTCCACCACTCTAGGCAAAAACCATAGTGTTACAAATGCAATGAGCGATTCGATGCAGGAGTTAACGACATAGATAAATAAGCATAACGGTTAACGCATTTCGATGCGTTTCTATGAGCTACGGTGACGGTTGGAAAAACATTATGTATTTTTATGTTGCCAATTGTGATTTGGTGTTGATAATAAACATACGGCAAAATATATTTGTGAGATTAGGTTATAATATGTCAAATGCTTATTGAAAGCGGAGTTTTAGCAGAGAATATTGTCATTCATGGTATGTTTATTAATATATTTAATATATATAATTTAATATATTATATAATTATAATTTATAATAATTTATAATTTAATATAATATATAATTTAATATATATATATAAACTATATATAATATATTTAATATAAATATTTATATATATAAACACCGTTATATTATTACATGATACAAATCAGGCATTATAACAAAATTTATCATTTTCCTTACAGCAACTAAATCTAATAAAGCGCTTGATGATGAACGTAGTGATAAAATAATTAAGTTAATTGTATTGATGGTACGTCTATTGAGTCTATTGAAAAATAATCATGTAAGTATTGAAACATTGACGAAGGCAACAAACCTGCTATACATTAACACAAGCATTATTTGTTTGTCTTGATTTTGATTATTAACTACTCGTCTCATTGAAAGATTGCAATTGGTGCAATGAATAAAGTATGGCAATATTGTCAGGCAATGTACTTTAGAAAGAAAACAGAAGGCATGTGCTGCAAGGAAGTTTTAAATGAGAAGTGAATCTTTTAAATCGGATTCCTACGATACCCTCAGATTGCATGATACCATTCAAGAGGTTACAATTTCTGATAAGATTTTTGTATAACGATTTGTGATGAATATCACCAAGGCTCAGGGACAAACAAAGCCCGTTTTTGGATTTAATTTAGAATATCAATGTTTTTTGCACAGACAATTATATGTGGGATGCTCACGTGTGAGATTGCCGAAAAATTTATTTGTGTTGGCCAAAGAGGATTTGGTAAAAAATATTTTGCATCAATTAGTTTCAAACTAGATTTATAAAAGCATTTATTATTGAGTCATAATAATTGAATGGGAATATATGATCCAGCTATATGGAATGTTAAATGTTGAAACGTGTAAATAATTGAAATTAGAATAATGTATTTAATGTAATAAATTATTTATAATGTATATATTTTTTATATAGTGTGATATTTAATTATAGGATAATAGTATGCAGGTAATTGTATGTTTGCATAATAATGTTTATTAAATATGTTTATGTTGAAAGTAATATAGGTGGTGTTTTATTTAGTTAATAGCAAATTTGCTAAATATTATATATTATGACGATAATTATCTAACAGTGTATTTTGAATATTTAAATATATATATATATATATATATATATATATATATATACATATGATTTAAATATCCCTGGTTAGGAATTGAAAAATAAAGATACTAATAGAAAACCTTCACAACCAACTTCAATCGAATACATTTTATGAGTAAAATCATCACTTGATTACTTATGATAAATTTTATAAATTTATTCAAAACTTTAATTTTTTGTTTTTTTATCTTTTAATTTTAAGGAAATTTTGATCAATGTATTGGGCAGTTATACGTTGCCTGTTCACGAGTTGGAAAACCATCCGCTTTGTTTGTGTTAACGTCAGACCAAAAAACAAAAAATGTGGTTTACCAAAGAGCACTTCAATGAAACGGATTCACTTTTATTTACTTAGAGACTTCTTCATCTTTCTCACGAAACCATCTGTTGGCGAAACGGAGTTTGTCCGGTTTGCTAGTATATATGTATATATGTATATATATATATATATATATATATATATATATATATTGATGTTACGCCCGAATTTTAAACTCAAATTAAACATATATATCAACATCAAATTCAAGACTATTCAAATATATATATATATATATATATATATATATATACTAATATATATATATATATATATATATATATATATATATATATATAATATAATATATATATATATATTTAGTATATATATATATATACTAAATGACCCGACAGACGTTGTACTGTTCACACATCTACGTTTTTTTAATATCATATACTAATATTTATACCGTTTAGTTAAAAATAATCATTATTGGTTTTCGAATTACTATTTTCACCAATATATGAGTGATGTGGAATGTAGAACTGTTTCAAATAAAATGATTATTCTTAATTCCCACAGTTAACACTTTAATTATCCATTTAACAATTATTAAAAAATGTTCAATAAAATTGTATAAATATATTGTAAAAATTATACACTGCAAATTTATTATTTAATGCCAAGGGTTATACAATTTTTCAATCATAACTGTAGATGTGGATGTAAAAATAAATGATTTTTTGTTTATTCACGACTAAAACATTGACTTTCCAAATTTATCACACAGAAAATCATCGTCTGCATTTGTGATTTATGGTCATAGCATAAGACATACGTGTTGAAAATTGGAGTCTTTTAAATGGTATAACAAATTCAGAACGAATTAATATATAGCATTCGCGGTATAGGTACAATATCACCTTGGATTTTTCTACCCAAAATAATTGCTTCAATAATGTTGCCTATAATTTTTATAATTACGTACCATATTTTAATGGGCTTTTGGTAATTTACGATCTAAATTAATTTTTTTTCACTATTAATTCAATATACATTATTACTTAAGTTTATATTTGAACCGAATTAATTTATCAAATCCTGTTCACATGTGCTCTATTCAACCTACGATCAACAAAATTATTGCAGTAAATGGACAGGAAAATAGCGTGGGTTGGAAATAGGCTAATCTTTATCTTAAGTTCAGAAGTGAAAACAATTTGCACTTTGTCACCACCCACCGAATTAATTGAATTATAACTCTTTTAATTCTGATTTTATCAGTACCTGCAATACACTATTTTAGAGGTAATTAAATGAGCTACAACTTTCTCTATCATAAATTTTACCGTAACTTCTCTTATTTTGAAATGGCAAAGGATTGAAGGACTCGAAAGACGCTCTGGTTGAACACTATCAATATTTGTGTAACAGAAAAATAATAAAAAGCAATAATTCGTCAGTAAAAGACCTTGAATTTTCAATTATATACCTTTATACGTATCTTCTATTTTTTAAATAGATTTTTTTCATGAAATCATGAGCTTTTTGAAAATCGTTTGCACTAAAGTTATGGTATTTTCCAGAATCTTTCAAACCAAGTTGATTCTAGAGGGAATACGATTATTTTCAATTTTGGTGGAAATGGCACTCAAAAAATATTTGCTTTAAATGAAACAAATATTGTATGCGTCTTTTATCTGCTTGATAGCTCACTCATTTTACACGCAGAAGTACTCATTCTAAAGCTTATTTTGAGTACTACAAAACCCCATTTTCATATCTAGCCTAATATTGTTCCTAGAACAATTTATAGAACACCGATTTATTAGGATTTTAATTGATATAATTTTGTTTATTGCATGATTTTCGTTTAAATGTATATTCTTAGAAATATTTGCAAAAAACGATGAAAAACGCAAAAAACAACAAATTTTCAGTAGCCAGTAACTTGAAAAGCAATTTCTTTTTTGAAAAACATTATTAAACATTTTTCTCTTCTAATTAGTTCTTTTATCGATATCCGACGTTAGTTTGAAAGAGATACAATTGCACCACTGAAAAAGGATGTCATCCCCCCGGGAAGTGGCAAATGATTCTAAATTATTTTTACTTTTAAACTTGAGAGTAAGATGAACTTAATTTCAAAATTTCATGCAAATTGGAGCACATTAAAAATATTCAGACCCAAAATGCTCCATTGTCTTGAGTAAATATTTCGTATCCAATGCCAAACATATGAATTTTTGACACAATGAAACTTCTAAATAATTGTTTGCATAAGTAAATTATTTTTGTATCGTGATTTAGTAAAGTAAGGCAAAACATGACTGCATTTAAAAGTTAAAAAATAATAATCAATCAAAGTGAATTATAGGCTAAGTTTGATGTGCGATCACTGACAGACGCATACGCAGACTGCATCACCTGTCAGATGTTGACTGTAAATTTTATTTTAATTTTTGGCACATCTCAGCTGCTTTTTGGCAATAATAATGTAGTCATTACATTTTTCTTATTCATAATCATAGATATATTATATTTTAATATTGCTTAGCCTATAAGTGAATGGAAATGTTTGGCAAATGACAGTCTTCAATTTTTTAATTTGTTTTAATGTCAAACCATGCCTTAAATATTTTGAAGAGCAAACAGTGATAAGCGGTTTTCTGTATTTTTTTCCATTTATTTCTACAATGTAACTATATTTCTATGAATCTAAAAATTCTAGAAAATTTCCCGAACAAACTTCAGGAAGATTTATGAAAATCTGAATTATAGTTTAGGAGGTTTAACCATTCATACATAGTTACAGAAGAATTGTATATATAAGATATATATATATATATATATATATATATATATATATATACAGGGTGCGCCATTTAGACCTGCGGCATTTCAAAGTTGAATAACTCTGTCGGTAATTATCAGATTTTGACAAATGAGCATGATTCTGAAACGTCATTTAGTGCCATTTTAGACATGAGTCAATACACACCGAAAGAACGCGCTGAAATCGTAATCGTAACGCTTTACATTGAAAACAATCGTTCCACCCTCTCCGGCGGAGTCAATAACAAAACTGTCGGATTTGGGGAACAGAAAACCCACACGTGATTCATGAAACACCACTGCACGATCAAAAAATTACTGTTTGGGCTGGAGTGTGCTCTAAAACCATCATAGGACCATTTTTTTTTCAAAGTTGGAGAAACCATCGACGGCGCACGTTATCGTTGGATGTTGGCGCACTTTGTGTGTCCGCAAATGCGTGAAAAAGGCCTCACTAACTTTTATTTTCAACTAGACGGCGCACCTTGCCACACCGCAGTTGCTACGATGCAGTTTTTGCAGCGCAAGTTCCCGGGACACGTTGTGTCGAAAAATGGTGATTTGGAGTGGCCGCCTCGTTCTCCAGATTTAACCGTACCTGACTTTTTCCTTTGGGGCTATTTAAAAAGCAAAGTTTATGTCAGCAAGCCGAAGACAATCGACGAATTAAAAGGTAACATACTGGCCGAAATAGCTGCTATAACGCCTGAAATGCTGGCCAATGTTATGCAGAATGCGCGAAAAAGAGCTGCTTTTTGTGTATCAAATGAAGGTGGTCATTTAATCGACGTTGTATTCTAAACCTGGTTTGAAATAAATGGCATGAAATATCCTAAATAAATCTTGTTCATTTGTCAAAATCTGATAATTACCGACAGAGTTATTCAACTTTGAAATACCGCAGGTCTAAATGGCGCACCCTGTATATATATATATATATATATATATATATATATATATATATATATATATATATATAGAGATGGGTAACTCACTCCGGAGTTATCATTCAGATACAACTCCTCCTTCGGAGTGAATCCGAGTGGAGTTGTCTCACCGGATTTGTCATATCCGACTTCCCTAAACTGGTACTAAATCTGTTACCGCGTTTTTGCTTTAGGAAGGAAGCTGTCGCTTTCTCGTCTCATAGGCAGTTTTATGACCTTTTAGGTATACGGTTTTTTTTACAGAAAATACAAAAATATCACTTCAAAAATACAGAACAATGAATAGTAAGGGGTCATATTTCTAACTACGACAATCTTTGGCCGTGAATGACGGCAGTCAGGAATATAAATACCGAAAAATACATGAAACGAAATATATCCAATCTGGTTTTTCCATAGCCTGAAATAACAATACTTTAGAAAGTGTAAAATATATAAATGACGTCAAGTGTATTTAAGCAGCAAAAAATATTTAGTATTATATTATTACTTTTACACAATGATATAATTGTGTAAAAGTAATAATATGCTAATCGAACTACTCGATATAATATTAATTCTCGAATGGAAATAGCAGAAGAAAAAATTAGAATGCAGATGTATTATTATTTGGTGAAAATATTTTATGATAAATGTTTTGCTTTTATTACAACTTTTACCACATTATTTTTATATAAAATTAATCCAAAAAATCAATTATTTTCCCATCAAAAGAAAATAATCAAATTGAATTTGATTCTCAAGTTTTGCGTTTTTACTATGGTCAACACTGTTAAAATTACGAGTCGTTGAGTCGATCATGTGGTCGACCGAAAAGTTTTACAACTTGTCATTTATTTGTAAATTTTTTAGATAAATTATTTTATTGATATTTTTTTAATTTTATTTTATTCATAAATTTTTATTTAAAAAATTAAATGGGATTTGACAAATCCTTAGATGCATAAACAACGCACTATAGAACACATTTGTGTGGAGTATTTCAGTTTCAAAGTTGTCGGAGTCGTGGAGTTGTTAAGCGGATATAACTCCTACCTGAAGCGGAGTCAAATCCGAACCGATCCGGCTTCGGATATGATAAGCCCATTTCTAATATATATATATATATATATATATATATATATATATATATATATATATATATATATATATATATATGGGGTTTTGTAGTACTCAAAATAAGCTTTAAAATGAGTACTTCTACGTGTAAAATGAGTGAGCTATCAAGCTGATTGATAGCTATTTTATATATATATATATATATATATATATATCTTATATATAAAATTCTTCTGTAACAATGTAAGTTTCATTAATCCTCCTAAACTATAATTCGGATTTTTATGAATCTTCCTGAAGTTTGTTCGGGAAATTTTCTAGAATGTTTTGATTCATAGAAATAGAGTTAGATTGTAGAAATAAATGGAAAAAATTACAAAAAACCGCTTATCATTGTTTGACCTTTAAAATATTTAAGGCATGGTTTGACATTAAAAACAAATGACAACTGTATATATATTCACTTATAGGCTAAGGCAATATTAAAATATAATAAACTCATGATTAAAAATAAAGAAAATGTAATGTCTACATTATTATTGTCGAAAAGCAGCTGAGATGTGCCATAATTAAAATAATATAAGATGCAAATAATATAACATGCGTCTGACAGTCTGCGCATGCGTCTGACGCGCACGGCGAATCGTGTTCTCAACGTGCGCGTGGTTTGCTTTTGCTTGCAATAAATTTGTTTGCGCACTTTGCGAACAGATTCGCCGTACGAATTCGTGCAAAGGAGACGAGCCATAAGTGACTGCGCTCAAGAAATATTCAATTTGCAGTCGTTTTGCCTTACTATATTAAGTCACAATACAAAAAAAATTACTTATTCAAAAAATTATTTAGAAGTTTCATTGTGTCAAAAATTCATATGGTTAGCATTTTGTACGGAATATTTACTCAATGGAGCGCTTTGGGTCTGAACTTTTTTTTACTGTTTTCCAATTCGTTTGGAATTTTGGAATTAGGCTCATCTACTCTCAAGTTCAAAAGTGAAAACAATTTAGACTCCTTTGCACTACCCGGGGGGATGCCATTTCGTTTCAGTGGTGTAATAACGTTGGGTGTGGATAAAAGAACTAATTATAAGACAAAAATGTTTAATAATGTTTTTCAAAAAAGCAAATACTTTTCAAGTTACTGGCTACTGAAAATTTGTTTCTTTTTTGCGTTTTTCATCGTTTTTTGCTAATATCTTCAAAAATATACATTTTAACGAAAATTATGTGATGAACAAAATTATATCGATAAAAATCCCAATAAATCGCTATTTTACAGTGTTCTAGGAACAATATTAAGTTAATTATGAAAATGGGTTTTTAGAGTTCTCCAAATAAGCTTTAAAAGAAGTACTTCTGCGCGTAAAATGAGTGAGCTATCATGCAATTAAAAGACGCATACAATGTTTTTTTTTTCATTTAAATCAAATAGTTTATGAGCGCAATTTCCACCAAAATTAAAAATAATCGTTTTCCATCTAGAATTAACTTGGTTTGAGAGATCTTGATGGATTCTAGAAAATACTATAACATTAGTACAAACGATTTTCAAAAAACTCATGATTTCATAAAAAAATCCATTTAAAAAACCAATTTCTCATTATAATATCTTTGAAAGAATACGTATAAAAGTATATATATGAAAATTCAAGGTATTTTTCAGACTAATTATTGCTTTTTATTATTTTTTTGTTACACAAATATTGATAGAGTTCTAATTGTTTAAAGAGTGCGCGGCTGTCCAACCGGAGTGTCTTTCGAGCCCTTCAACACTTCGCCGTTTCAAAATAATAGAAGTTACTGTAAAATTTATGATAAAGAAAGTTGTAGCTCATTTAATCACCTTTAAAATAGTATATTACAAGTTATGATAAAATCAGAATTAAAAGAGTTATAATCCAATTAATGCGGGGGGGGGGGGGTGACGAAATGCAAATTGTTTTCACTTCTGAACTTTAGATTAAGATTAACTGGGCATACGCTTTTTTCCTATCCATTTACTGCAATAATTTTGTTGATGTTAGGTTGAATAGAGCACATGTGAACAAAATTTGACAAATTAATTCACTTCAAATATGAACTTAAGTAATAATGTATATTGAATTATTAGTGTGAAAAATGCAATTTAGATATTAAAATACTAAAATTGTAGGCAACATTATTGAAGCAATTATTTTGGGTAGAAAAATCCAAGGTGATATTGTACCTTGACCGCATGCTATATATTAATTCTTTCTGAATTTGTTATACTTTTTAAAATATTTCAATTTTCAACACGTGTATCTATGCTATGACAATAAATACATGGTGATAAATTTGGAAAATCAATGTTTTAGCCGTGAATAAACAAAAAATCATTCATTTAAACATCCACATCTACAGGTATGTCTAAAAATATTGTATAACCCTTAAATTCAATAAAATAAATTGAGCTATTGGAAATAAATTTGTTCTATAAATCGCAGTGTATAATTTTTAATATATAATTTTATTGAACATATTTTAATATTTGTTAAAGGGATAATTAAAGTGTTGACTGTGGGAATTGAGAATAATCATTTTATTTGAAACAGTACTACATTTAACATCACTCATATATTGGTGTAAATAGTAACTCGAAAAACAATAATGATTATTTTTAACTGAACGGTATAAATATTAGTATAGGATATTAAAAAAACGTAGAGGTGGGTACAGGACAACGTCTGTCGGGTCATCTAGTATATATTTATATATATATATATATATATATATATATATATATATATATGGAGTTTTGTAGTACTCAAAATAAGCTTTAAAATGAGTACTTCTGCGTGTAAAATGAGTGAGCTATCAAGAAGATAAAAGACGCATACAATATTTGCTTCATAGTTTTTGAGTGCCATTTCCACCAAAATTGAAAATAATCGTATTCCCTCTAGAATCAACTTGGTTTAAGAGATTCTAGAAAATACCATAACTTTAGTGCAAACGATTTCCAAAAAGCTCATGATTTCATGAAAAAAAATCTATTTGAAAAAATAAAAGATACATATAAAGGTATGTAAATGAAAATTCAAGGGGTTTCACTGACGAATTATTGCTTTTTATTATTTTTCTGTTACACAAATATTGATAGTGTCCAACCAGAGTGTCTGTCGAGTCCTTCAATCCTTTGCCATTTCAAAATAAGAGAAGTTACGGTAAAATTTATGATAGAGAAAGTTGTAGCTCATTTATTTACCTCTAAAATAGTGTATTGCAAGTACTGATAAAATCAGAATTAAAAGAGTTATAATTCAATTAATCCGGTGGGTGGTGACGAAGTGCAAATTGTTTTTACTTCTGAACTTAATAAAGATTAGCCTATTTCCGACACACGCCTTTTTCCTCTCCATTTACTGCAATAATTTTGTTGATCGTAGGTTGAATAGAGCACATGTGAACAGGATTTGATAAATTATTACGATTCAAATATAAACATAAGTAATAATGTAACAATCTAACTATATTTCTATGAATCTAAAAATTCTAGAAAATTTCCCGATCAAACTTCAGGAAGATTTATGAAAATCTGCATTATAGTTTAGGAGGTTTAACCATTCATACATAGTTACAGAAGAATTTTATATATAAGATATATATATATATATATATATATATATATATTTTGTATGATTCTGAATTTGATGTTGACATATGTATTAACAAAGTCTAATAATCGGGCATAACATCAATAAAAAACATGAATTTTTTTCAAAAATTTATTTTAAATCCATACGTTTCGGCTATAATCCTAGCCTTCATTCAGTGGAAACTAAAAATAAAATTAAAAACTAAAACAATTGAATTGGAGTGAAAAGAAAAAAATAAAACAGTAATCAGTACTTACAATTAGTTGATC